AGAAATAAATAAACTGGCATTCTACTTACAACCCTCTTGTGAATCGAACTCTACATTCTGGTTCTCTTGATCTGAAATAGTTAAATAGGAAATGAGCTACACTAGTTCAGTAAGAATATCACGTTACTCACTACACAAAATGAAGGTATTAGAAAAAATCAAAATTATTAATGGAGTTCTTAATTAAACAAATTTATTTATCATAAATAAAATCTTTTATCATCTACTTAACGTAGTGAGATTTACAAAATAACTTATAAAGACAATAACATAACATAGATCATAATTTCATATATAATCGATTTGAACAACAATTTTATTCTTTATCAACCTATTAGTATCCATAGAAATTCATAGGAATGTTCCTACAACGCATGAACCTTTCCTTTAACACTTCTAATTAACGAGCCGTCTCCATACCCCGTCCGGTATGAGTGTCAAACTAGTAAACCTCAATACCTTAATTCGGTATGGGGGTGAAACAGGCCGTCCTCATACCTCATCCAGTATAGGCGCCAAATTACCAAACCTCGATACCCCGTCCGGTATGAGGCAACGTTCACGGTAGGGTTCCCTATGTACCCGGTCCGTCCACTATCTCTCAGGATATTCAGTAAAGCTGTCATTTCATCAATTCACTTAATCACGCAATTTTCTGTTTTTCTTTAATCTCTATTTTTTCCAATTCAACCGTAAACACATAAAACAAATAATACATGCATTCAAAACTATAAAATCGATCAATCAGATACTATCATGGATTCAAACCGTAAAAACAATCAACAGAAATAACAGTAGATAATTTTCGGTTCTGTCTCCATTAGTAACCCATAATTAATTATTGATATTTTTTAAATTGTACAAAATACCGTATTATTGTTAATTTGACTTCAATTTCATAACAGAGAATAAGGTGATGGATTCTTATTCAAATTGATATCCGAAAAGCTAAGCTTGTTGACTGCGTCTACTGGCGGTCTTTGAGTTCCCTGAATTTTTTTTCGGGGATCAAAACGCACAATAATTACCTACAAATATCCCAAAAAACTCAAAATCAATGTCAGGATCCCTTTCTGGCCAATTCTGAAATTCTGGCACAGCAGCTCCGCCGTGCTCCGGCGATGGCGTCACTGCCCGCGAGGGCAATCCACCTCGGGTTGGCTATTTTTGGTCGGTTTTGCTTCAATCCCCACGAGAAAACACGGTAAGGGGCCTCGGTTGTCCCGAAAAAAATAAAAAAACTAAAACTCACCAGCGGCGAGGCTCTCCGATGCGGCAACTCCGCCAGCTCACTTTTGCGATTAGGTGTTTTGCTTCGGTCAATCTATAGAGAATGAAACGGTG